AATTTGGTCGATTTTTTTTTTTGTTCCATTTTTCCCCCCATTTTTTTTTTCTTCTTCTTTCTACTTTCGAGCAAACAGCACGACAATTAAAAAACACGAGAACAATATATCAATAAAGTAGCACGCGTTACGAACGCGCGAATTATAGTCGAAGATATCGATTCAACCATCACAAAGAGAGTATTTATATAAATTCGTAATACGTGAAAACTTAACTTTCTATAAAATTTGTCAAACAATCATTACGCACAGCAACTCGCGGCAGAAAAGATGGAGTTTCCCGTGCAAAAGCCCGGCAACGAATCATTCCCTCTGAACCCAACACACTCTGGTACATCTCGATTAAATTAAAGGTCGATTAACAGAACAGCGCGAGAAGCACTAATTAAATTGAGGGACATCTTTGGGAGCGATAACAATATATAATGGTGAATAAAGAAAGAAAGAAAAAAAGAAGAAAAGAAAGTTAATTCTTACACGTTAACAATAACAGAAATATCCTAATACGTACGTATATAAATCACGATTATAATAATAAATTAAAAGATACGCTTTATCATCGAACTGTTCTGTTAACAACAGCGATAAAAAGAAGAAAAAACAAACCGAAGGTTCTTCTTCCATCGATTTTTGAGTTCCGATCGAGTCCCTTCTTCGAAAACATCGATCGTTAAACCATCTTTTGTTCTAATCGTTATACCACTCGTATTTATAATTAATTATCTCACATTTTAACCCTTTACAATCGAACAAGTCTAACACGCAGAAAAATAAATACACGCGTTAAAGTGTCTCTTAACAGAAACTCTAAATACTATAAAATATATACGACAATGCTTAACACGTTCAACATGGACCGTTACTAGTTTTTTAGACGAAACGAGAAGCTCACAGATATCAGATTACATGCCTTGAGCTCAGTGTTGCACGTGTTAAGACGAAAAATAAAGTGGCAGAACGTTTAATACTTTCGTTCGTAAAAATTCGATCTTTATACACGTTCCGATTGGACCTCCGTTTTAACGTATTTTTCGATTTAAAATTACAATTTGGTCGATTACTTATTACCTACGATAACCATCGTAAAAACATTAAGATCTTTATCTTCTTTTTATATATAGAATAATCATTCAAACGAAACAATGTACGTTCTAACACTCAAGACTAAAAAACAAACATACGTCGAACAACCTCGAAGAAACGTCGTCGAGAGCAAAGGGTTAAACGCAGTAATCGGTACAACGAGCAGCTCACTGGAATAATACACCGTATACACGGTGTCTCGGGATTTTCCAGTCAAACTATACATCGTTCAAAATAAGAGTACCTCGCTCTCAGACCGATTCTTGTCCGTTCTGCGCATAGACAGATAGCGTAGCAGAGGGTAAGACGGAGAAAAACGTAGGTGGTTACGTGGGGGGGGGGGGCTAGCCCTGCCTTAGGCACGTCCCATGCGCCAAACGAGGTTACTCTTATTCCGAACGATGTGTATGTTACTTTCTTTCATAAGTAGAAATGAAAAAAAAAGTTTCATGCAAATATAAAATCATTTGGCGGTCTATTGATAAATTATAACAACGATACGAAGTAATCAATTTTTGTATGAACAATATCTTAATTTCTTATTTATAAATTTAATCTCTTCACTATATTATTCAAAATCAAACTTTTAACTAGCGCCTCTTTGTTTTTTCGGGGGGGGGGGGGTCTAGCCCTGCCTTAGGCACGTCCCATGCGCCAAACGAGGTTACTCTTATTCCGAACGATGTGTATGTTACTTTCTTTCATAAGTAGAAATGAAAAAAAAAGTTTCATGCAAATATAAAATCATTTGGCGGTCTATTGATAAATTATAACAACGATACGAAATAATCAATTTTTGTATGAACAATATCTTAATTTCTTATTTATAAATTTAATCTCTTCACTATATTATTCAAAATCAAACTTTTAACTAGCGCCTCTTTGTTTTTTACTTGTTCTTTATGTTTGATACAAACAATAAGAAATGGAAGTTCCTTGAATGAATAAAATGTTAAATTGTAAATATCAGTCAATCGAATGACAAGTAGATTAACAGCAAACAATTACGTTAGTCATCGACAAATTTTATCATTTTTTCCATATTTCAATGAACTTTTTTAAACGACTTGTCTTTACGTGGCACTTTTCTCATTTCTACATAGAAAACGAACTGGCAAAGTTTATCTAGAAACTCCAGGGACACCGTGTACAAAGTTCATCGTGCGGTACAGAGACATATATTTTGCAACGCGGGGATTAAAAAGGTCGACAGAGAGCGGTGTCCCGTAAATATTACTTTAATATCAATGAAGGGAGGGTCTGGAGGCTCTCTGTTTTAACCTAGCCAGAAGCGCCTGCTCTCCGTCGTCCTCCGTCTTCGACAACATTCCCCGGAAGCTTTCCGACCTGTACTTGTCCCTCAAGAACGTCCTCCTCTCCTCTTTGTACTTTTCTATCCTCTCCCTGCACTGAGGATCGCCTAGATCCAGTCCACCCAGGTTTTTCAGGTGCGTCTTCTCAGAGTTGCTCGAGGAACTGTTCGAGCCTGTGCCAACATTAGGCGTTGAGCTATGCTGCGCGTCCTCCGAGGCCTGTTTTACCGGCAGAGAGGCTTCTTCCGTCATTTTATTGAACTTTGCTTCGTCCAATGATCGACTGAGCGAGGCTCGAGTCGCCCTAGCGTGTCGCGCCCTCAAACATGGCGGTAAATGTTGAGCATTATTCACAGGAGGTTCCTCGGATTTTCCTCTAGCCGAATCCAACTCCTGTCTCATCTTTCTCTCGCGTACTATCTCCCTGCCAATCTCAGAATCGAAGCTTCTTCTGTCTTTGTTGGTCTCAGTTTCGTACCTTCTTCTTGGAGGTATAGACAGATCCCCTACGATTCCTCCTGACAATCTCTGCAATGCTAACTCTTGCAGTATAGCTGCTGTATCTCTGAGAACCAAACAGTCATCCACAGGGGAAGATGCGTTTGAAAATGTACAGGATGAATTCAAAGATGTTGTTTCAGACGCACCCTCCGGAGGATGAGCTATGTCGCTGGGCTCAGCAGCGTTTTCTGACGGTATTGCTACTTCTAGGTGTTCCTCGAGCTGGCTGTTCTTCACGTTGTTGCATTTAGAGGAGTCATTCTGAGCTGGCTCCTTTGACGATACGTACTCGAAGCTTTGGCACTTTTCTGGCTTCTGGTTGGGCACGCGTTGCTTATTATTGTCGGTGCTGGTGAGTGGCAAATCGAGGTCATGACTCTTCTTGGATTGACTGGAGAACGAACGGCGGTCGCTGGCTTGAAACTGTGGCTTCTGATGCAGTTGCAAGGAACGTCGAATATCTTGTTGCTGGAAATCTAGATTCCTCTGTGTTTGTTGGGAACTCTTCTTGAATGCTTCCTCTTCCCCTAAAACCTCTTCCTTCGCTGGATTCTCGTTTCTATTGAATGCTTTGTTGTCTAACTGTGTGTAGCAAGCAGTAGCCTCGTGCTCCATTTCACTGGGCTTCTGATTCAGTCGAATATCTGTCATGCTAACAGAGCACAATTTCTGGTTACCATTATTCTGATCGTGTACAGGCGAATGAACGATATTTGAGAAGTTATTCCCAGAATCGACCATCGCGAAACTAGATTGGGCATCGAACGCACCGGACGATCTTTGCGCGGTAGCATCGTGTTCTTCCAGTTCTCTATTATCAGCCACGTCAAACGTCATATCTGCAGATTCCTGAGGAAGAACAGGACTTTCTGTCAAATCGCTAACACCAATGCAAGATGTGTCTGTATCTACTGTTGATCCCATAGTAAGATCCAACGAGGTTCTAGAAACGTTCTCCGACATTGATCTCAATTGTGGTGCATCAGTTGCTATCGCAGGATTGACCGTGCCTTCCAGGGGATCCTTTGGACTACTAGAATCACTGGTAGGCGTAGTGATCGAGCCAGTTCTCTCTACAATCACCCATTCGCCTGAATCGTTCGTATTCGAGGCCATCTGAGGTGTTTCTGTGTTGGTGAACATCTTATCGGAGCTATCACAAATCACAAAACCGGAATCGGGCAGATCCTCGATCGTTTGTTCGCAAGACATCGGTGAATCAAGATCAGTGGCGCTGGATAACGGCAATCCCTGTAATTCATTTCTGTGTGCGTTTGAGTTTCCAGCCATGGAGTCGTCGTTCTGCAAGCTCAACGATTTGCTCGACGGCGTATCGTGCTTTCGCACATCCAACGTGTCCCTGCTGTCGCTGTGAGACTTGTCCACGTCCACGGGACACGAGCTCGATCTATTTCCTATATCTTTATAGGGTGACGTGGTTATTTTACTACGGTCTATCTCGCTACGATGAGACATCAGCCTGTCGCATGGCGTCATCTCTTGGTCGACTACGTCCGATACAACTAGATTCGACTTCTTCGAAGTCTTCTGAGCCTTGGAAGACTCCTTGTCGCCGTACATATCTACGTGCTTGTCGTACGTTATTATCCTCTCGCAGGACTTGGCGTTAACTTGCCCTTCTAAGTTTACGGATAACCTATGACTAGGGTCGGATGATTTATCGGAAGACACGCTAGTTCTGTTCAGCTTGTTCGCGTTGCCCTGTTCATCGTCGATCTCTAACGGCAAGGTAAAACTTCGGAAACTTATCCTAGGACTGTTAGCCGGTATAGGCGACGTGGAGTGCGGTGTTCCGTGTAACGTGGCGGGTGTGAGCGGGGTAGAAGCTTCGGATAACAGTGGTAGGTACCCTGGTGTTGGTAATGGGGATGGGCTATCCATACTGTGAACATCTGCGGATACCATCACCTGTGGACACGTGTTATCCATTAATATCCATGAAATAGTAAAACCTACAGAATTATACAGGGCGTAATTCCTTGGTATTCGTAAAGGAGTTGATTCATCCTGAAATATTAACATTAATTTCTTGTGAAATATAAACATGGACCAAGGAACTATACGACATCCTGTACAATACAATATTAAATATCATTCACCTGATCAGGACTTTGGCTATCAATGAAGCGCAACTCAACGTCGCACTGCAGTCTTTCCTCCAATCTCGACCTCTTTCTTTTCGATCCACCGGTGGTAGCGGTGTTCTGCGTTCCCTCTATTCTCTGTCGTCGCGGAGAAGCTTCCACCGACGCCACACCTCCGCTCTCCTCTTCAGAGAACATACGCATCTCCCGTTCCTCGAGATCAAAGTTCAGCTGTATCTCCGACAGATCCAATGGAGACGCGGTATTTGGCGCATCTGCCAAATGATCGAAGTACGAGTCATGGGAGACCGATCGACTGTGGCCACACGGCCTAGCTGGTGGCGGCCCTAACAGAGGACCCAAACTGTCCTCGCCGTCCAGACTATCCGCACTTTTCACCGGTCTCAACCGTCGTAAGGAGTTTAAGGAACTTGGCACCGTTTCTGTTTGAGGTGGCGTGCCAACTTGTCTTGTTTTTCCTCTGGCACCCAAGCCACCTCGACCGAACAAAGCTCTCCAGTTCAACGAGGGTGAACGCTTCGAGCCGTTTCTCTTTCGCGGTAATTCTATGACCGTATGGTAATGTAATGGTAACCCGGCTGGACCGGCGCCCACTTCTACGTAATCGGGCTCGCCTCTCAGGCTTCTGTTTCGAGCCTCCTCCAAACTGAGCAATCTCGCCGGTGTCGTGATGGCCAATGATTTTGGCCGACCGACTGGACCATCGCCGAATATTAATTCAGCGTAACAGACCAGAAACTCCGTGACCACCGCTTGCACACCGACTCCCTGCAAAGCTGCCACACCACCAACTTCTAATTCCTTGCATCTTAGGAGATTCGGAGCCCAGACGATCGCGACGTTACGTGGCGTCATACCGGTCTCCGCACCTCTAGCTGCCACTCTCACCAAATGACGCATAAGGTATTCCAACGTTCTGAAAATACAGACGATTTCGGTCATATTAATTTATTTAAAATTGGACAGGTTTTTAAATGTAAAAATGTATACAATTTTTTAGATATTAATGTACAAAGATGAGTCTCTTGCATTTCGAAGATACCTGTAGTGCGGTGGTGGTAATTTTCTAACGGTGTCCCTCATCCGCCTTAACCTCTCTGCGTCGGTGCTGGCTTGAACCGCGCTAACGAAGGTAGAATAAAGCTGGTATGTACAGAGTGGATTCGGTAGCTCTCTGAAGTACATTTTCAACAGCGACGCGACAGAATGGATATCTTGTAGAATACTTTCGTCGGAATGCAATGCAGGAACACGATCCTCGTCGAACGCGTTTCGTAATCTTTGAATGTTCGATGTCACGCCGCTCAGACGATATATACCGTCGACTAAGCCATGGTTCTCGATGAACTCCGCACAGCACGTTAAAACAGTAGGCACTGTAAATATCACGTAACGTTATAACACTGTCGATTGATATACAGAGTGATTCTGCCTATTGGACCAAGCCATGTTGTAAGTATTGAATAACAGAGACGTGAGATATCTCGTCCACGGATGCGGAAGGGTTAACAATTTTGATCATTCTATAACATGATTTTTTTTGCAACTGTTACAATTTTTTTCTAAGTTTACTTGGAAGAAAACCGTAGGTTGGCCCAAAAATTAGAATCACTCTGTATAATTAGAAAATGTTACAGAAAATTCGATATAAAATATATACCATCTTGACCAGAGTTTAAAAGATGTTCCCCTAAATCACAACCAAACACACGTTCCCTCAGGATCCCTGACTGCTTCAATCGTCTCCTAGACGGTCTATTCAGTATGAACGATCTGAAAAAGGCGATTAGCTTGCCGTGCTTCCTGAGCACAGGTTTCACGGGTAACTTCGATCTGACTGTCGTCGACACGGTCAAATGCCGTGGAACCTTATCCCCGATCACAGCCACACATTCGGCTGGGAAAAAACCAACTGCAAATCCGTGTTTCCCACGCCACCATGTGCTTTCCCCCGGAGGAGGCATATCTATTACTGAAATCATGTCTCCAACCTGAAATCCAAAAATACATTGCATTAAATCTCCGTTACAATTATCACTAATCTTTCTTTATTATTTTTTCTCTCTTATTAAACAAAGTACAGTGTTTTCATTTAACCCTTTCTCAACACCACAGAGACTTATATATCCTATTTGAGTACTCGAAACAAAAATTCGCCTGGATTTCTAAATAAGAAATTCTTAAAAAAGACAACAACTCGGTCGTGAAAGGGTTGAAAAGAGAGCGATATTAATAAGATGAAAGGAATACCTGAAAGGAGATCTCATCCGGTGCCTGAGCAACGTAAGGTCTAACTGCATAAGCCGCGGCTACTGCAGGAGTATTAATGGGGCATGAATCTGACTCTGGCACGAGGATTCTTCTTCCTCTATTATCTAGCTGCAACCAATTTAACACAGGACCGCAATTTAGGCCTTCATGATTTAACTGCGAGAACCTATTTAAATAGTCCCTCAGTATATCACAGGTGTTTTTTGGCCGTGTATCTGGAAGCTTGGTTAAGGAAGAGAACTTCCTGTCAAATATGCAGCGATGCAATTGCTTGTCAAACATAACAAAATTATCATAAGATCGTTGCAGGGTCCAGCATGCATCTCCGGATGTTACTCTGACCGCGTAGCTGTCGGAATCATTGGTACCTTCGCTAAGCGATACCTGCAAAATCAACGTAACGATCTTTTATTTTTATTTGCATCGACAATCTTCACGCGCAGTTACGTCTTTCTTTCTTTCTTTTTTTTTTTGTCTAATCCATCGATATTTCACTAATTTTGTAAGTTACTCTCTGTGCGGCTACAGCGAAGAAGCGTTATTTCTCTTTCGTGGAGAACATGATCGATTACAAAAAAGAAAAAGAATTTAACGAAACCTCGTCGTTGCAATGGTAAAGTTGAGAAACTGTGAAAATTTAATTTTTCAAGAAAGAAAAAAAACC